CAGATAGAACAGTGTTATTAAACCGAGCTGTAACTTTATAGAATCACAGAGGTTAATCCCCTCTTTGCCGGCGATGTTACCATTATTTTCTGGATACAAAGTGCTTACCCGAATGTGAAATCTTCAATTGTATCGCAATTATTTTACATGCAAATATATGTATGTATGGAGGCAAAGTTGCTATTAACGCTGTATGAGTTAAACTAAGAGATTTTTATCAATATTAATTATAATTTCTCGGTTTGTTTTCCTATCTAATTATTTAGAAGCAATTAATAATACAAATAAAATACAGCTTTTTAGTAATTTTTAATGAGCACATTTACAGTTGAATGCACCGGTGGCAATGTTGGGTACTTATTTTATGTGATAAAATGTATAAGGTTACTTCCACGAGAGAAGAAACTAAATTTTAATAAATTAAAAAGCATCCCTCGCCCTTGGGACAGGTAACATTAGGAGAACATCTTGCAATAGAACATGATATAATTGTAGAACAAAGTAACGGTCGCCAAACTTTTCCACCCCAAAGCATTTTTTATTTAATTTTTATTTTTACGACACAATTAAACGCGGCTTTGCTTTCACTTTTTATTGTTACTGTCTTAGTGCCCTCTAATTTTTGGCTTCAATTACATTTTTTTCTTTGGTTTTATTAAAACATTGTTTTTGATGATCAAACTTTATTCGTTTGGACAAAATGATCTTATTTTAGAGTTAATTCGTTGCGTTTTTTGATAGATCTGTCCATAATGTTAATAAAAACAAAATGAATGAGTTATCAGATATAATCAATAATACGGTCCTCTCTTCTTCCTCAGGTACTTCTCAAGGTGAATAGGTGTTTCTATTCAAGGAGAGATTACATCTTGCTCCGACCGGAACTCGTTTACAAAAAAATAGAGCAACGATTTTTTGAACCGAAATCATTTATCATGTTTGCATTGAACCCAAGACATACTGCTACTGCGTTTGAGTTTACACTAGATAAGATTACGTGCGTTTGTTTTACGTTGTCTACCGATTCTTGGGCCATTTTTAAGACAGAGCCTCATTGTTTGGTGTAATACCGAGATAATATGGTGTTTCCGAGACACCTACTTGAAAAGGAAATAATGCATCAAACTGCTGTAGTTACTAAGTCATTTGTGAGTTCAAACATAGGTCGATAGTAGATATGATCGAGATGATGACAATTCAACTATAACACTATCAAAACTCCCATCATCACTAGTAAAAATATTCCATTCCTCATATTTCAAGTTATAAAGTATCACCTGTTCGCAGTCTATAATCAATTTAACGATGGCTAACCCTTCTAACTGATAAAATTAACACCATTTCTCGATTCTTCGTTTTCTTTTACTACTCTGCTACCTGAAGTTAATTAATGCAATAGAAATAAATACATGCTCAGTACAAATAAAGCTAACTGACAATCTTATTATAACGCCACTAATCCAATAGCACTAAAACGACAAAGGCGATGCAAATAAAACAACAGAAGCGTCAAATAAGGAGCGTTAAGTATCTCCAGAGGTATCGTATAAAAATATGACTTATGTTAATAGTTTTAAGATACAATCTGTTCTAATGACAAACCCTCCTAAAAAAAGATATATTTGGACCAAGGAAACTTAAAAAGAGTTTTAATTTAATGTGTAAACATTCCCATACGGGTTGTAGTGCTGTACCGTGTAAATAATCGGACGCTCGAGTAACAAAAACATAAAATATACAGATTATGACTATTAGCTTACAATAGGCTGTCAGCGAGATGTTTTTGGGCTTTTCAGTTTTTTAAACTACCTTGTAGTAGGAAGGATGTTTACGCCACGTGAATGTTATGATTTAGTGTCAGTAATTATTAGTGAGTGTGAACACGTCCACTAAGAGTCGAGAAAAGTAATACAAATAAAATAACAAAGAGCACCGAGTCTATTCATAGTATGTCGATGGCGTTACTGTTTGTGTTCTTAACTTCATATGTTTAAGATCCTAGTTTTTTATGAAGTCGGGAACTTTAAAGAGTTACTTTTGACGGAACTATTTTATATTTAAGTCACGTACATTTTTAATTCTTTGTGACGTGGCGATATTTTGCAATATCTTTGCAGAATCCGTCGATCAGGATTTGTTTCGTAATGTTTGTAAAACTATCTATCAAGGGTATATCTGTCAGAAATATCTGGGGACTCCTTTGTGGGTGCTATTTGATCAGTGACATGGGCGGTGAGTGATGAATATTGCGAAGCAAATATACAAAAAGCAAAACTATCGGCGGTGTTAGTTTCACTAGGGTTGGTCGGAGGAAAGAGTACGATGTGGGCAGAGAAACGAATCATGTTTGATTTGATAAATATTTTGTGAACAGTTGCGATTACGATTACGGGGTATGCTATATGTGGGTGTTATTTAATAACATTATTTTTATTTTTTTACTTATTTCAAAACTTATAACAGTTGTAATAAAATATATATTATAGGTTAATTGACATTAAATGTTACCAATATTCTATATTTGCTTTTAAAGCCAAAGAAAGGCTTTTGGGCTTTCATTAAAAAGGTTTCCCTTTACTTGTGTTTATCTCATTACTCCATTACATTTCGTTGATACTAAGTAAGTACTGAGAAAGTTGGTACCCTCTAGGACCATCTGCTTTATGGTACTCTCTCAACCTCGCACACCCGTATAAATCGTTCGGAAATCGTTCGGTAATAAATCGAACGCTTTTTAATGGCAGTTTATCGCAGTGAGCTTTGCGGTATTCAGATTACGGGTATGGCCTAAGTGGCGGCAAGGGAGCGGCACGTGCTCTCCTTATCTCTGTCCCTCGACACTTTCAATATTCGATTTCGTCGCGCCCGCGATTGTGTTCAAGTTTTTTTGCCCCCGACTGTACTCTGCACCCAAAATAAAATCAATTTTATGAGCTGCCTTTTCAAGTTCATTCTAACTATTTATAATTCATTGTTGCGTGGCACTAGTCAATGTCGTTTTAGTTATGAAAAGTTAAGGAATTAATTGACTTCGATAAATAAAATTGGTCATCAAAACAACAAACCCTTTATCTGGTAAGGACAACGACGGAAAAAAAACTGTCACAGCATACAATCGCACCCCAAAGCGTAACCGAAAACGAGTCTCACCGCAATCCAAGCTAATGGAGTGTCTCATAATGACGGTTGCTGACATAAAAATAAATAGACGAGACTCAGTTTCTGCGTAAGCCGATACTATGATAACAGCATCGCTCCCCCGATAATTGCCGAACTTGGTCGACGCCTCTGATGTGGTGCCTAGTCGTAATGTAGTGCGGATTAGCTGGTACCAGTGTAATTGATCTTACTTCGCGCCGCCAATTAGTTGGGACTTGCAGCTAGCGGCTACTGTCCCTGTATTTATTTGTAATAGTATGCTAAGCAATTAAAATCGTTGTATGACAGGTCTATTTGTTATAGCTCTACCTATTAAAATTAGTTTCTTTTATTGATTTAGGAGTATTACTTAGTGCTGCTGTTGTGGCCAAGGCGATCGACTAGATAGCCAAGCGTGGCTGAGGTACTATTAATTTCGAAATTTTCTACAATAGCACTGTATATCCAGGAATAATTATGTGCCCGGTTTATGGTAATAGGCTCGCTTCCTATTACATGAGCCTTACAATTATTATATGTTATACCATTATCGTTTAATTAGCAGTCTTGTGGTTCAAACTTATAAACAACAAAATTTGTGTGAAGATATCATTCTTATGTTACTTTATTGTGTCTGAACTAGGCAATAGCGATTTTCTTGTTCTTAAATACTTTCTGGGACTGAAAGGAAAATTTTAACATTTTCCATCCACTGGCACTAACAGATAGTCAACCTTTACCTATAATTACAATATTACATAGGACAATGATTTACTCCAAAGTAACGTTTTTATTGTGACCACAGCCTGATAGTAACTAGCAATAAAGGTAAACAAAGTTTTAGGTCCGCAAGTACGCAATAGGCTTAACGGCAAAGATTTAGGTGACAAACTTTATTGCGGCCAAGAAATACTGTTGTCTATTACGTGAACATAAATCACGGATGGGAAAACAATAAGCGTGAAATTGTGGAAACTGCGTCGACGTGTTGCGGTATTAAATCTTAGGGGAGTGAGATAAATAAAAATAAATCCGAGCCCTCCCTCACTATACTTGATTTATCTGATAAGCAACCTCCATGAGAAGTTCCCGTTGCTCATTTTTAATTGAATTTAATTAATGAGTATTTCAGTTATTGTTCTTTTGTTGTTCTTATGAGAATTTACTATGAGTACAGAATGGTAATGAATGAATCACGTGTAAAAGCGGATTGATCGATTTCTTACTTGATTTTTATTGAAGCGTTTTTATCAATTAGCGTTTGAATTTTTTCACACGTCTGTGACTTTTATTGCAGTAATAAAATGAATGATTGCTGATTTGTGCTTGTTGTACATGACAAACTCGACTCATTAGTGATGTGCATGTGAATCTATAGGTACCTAGCTTTTGCCAGCGGCTATGCCCGCGTTCCCGTGAAAAGGTGACCTATATGTTATTGCAGACATATGGACTTTCGAACTTATAATTTTAGTAGGATTGTATTTGTAGGTAGGTGCTATATGATTAAGAGTAGAAGGTTTAAATTGACATATATTTTACAAAAATTGATATCTATGTTATATTTTATTTGCCTATGTGACGGTTTCTTGCAATTAGAGAAGTACTATAGCGCCCTGGACTTTATGTTCAGCAGTCGTGCTTACGGCTATTTCAGTAATGAGGCGATTTATCATATTTTTTATGTTCTTCTCTATGCAAATGCTCTAGTTAGAAGCTTTAAGTATTTAATAGAAATCATTTAGTTAGATAATCTATTTTTCAAAAAAATAAAATCAGTTAATACTGGAGTAGCTGTCTGGCTTTGGATATAAATAAAAAATAAAAATGTACAACCTAATTCCAAATTTATCAATTAACCATGCATGTAATGTTAGAACTATTTATTTGGTCTAAACAAAAAATCGTGAAAATCTGTTTGTCTGATTTGCATGTCTAAATAGTTGGAGCAATTTTTAATAAAGTCTGGAAAAAGAAGTATTCTCATTTCAGTTTGAAGACTTTAACGTTAAGACTTTGACTGCCAATAAAAAACTGTTGAAGGTAAATCCTCCGCTAACGCCGGTCACCGGTGACCCCCATGGCGTTTAACGTGTTAAACAAGTATATGTTTATTCAATATAAAGTATGTGTGTAGAGTAACTGTAACTGCCATTTAGATTGTAGACTTTAAAGCCAAGGATACACACTAGGGAACAAAATGTCCCATGATATGTATCGGCGATATGTCAAGCGAAGCCTGCCGATTTCACCCGACATATTAAGGCGACAACGTGCACCTTATGTCCACAGTGACGTTGATGTTGCCAGACATGTCAACCAATGTCCGGCGACGTCGCACTACTTCACCTAACGTCGCTGGCGACAAGTATCGCAGGACATTTGTCCCCGAGTGTATCCTTGGTTTTAGTGAAATAAACAATAAAGTTCAAACTTATTTCTATCTATCTATCTATCGTATGTATAGGTCTCAGCCTCCATAGGTTAAGTATACCATCTTAAACGGCAGTAACGTGCTACTATGTCCGCAGCTCCAGACCGGGCCGACCACCGAAGCGTGCGTCAGGAGTGGGCCTGTCACTCGCAGCCACACAGTTCCCTGGACATCCCTTCAAGAAACATCGGCTGGAAAACGGCGAATACTCGCCTTATGAGAACGGACATATGAGTGGTAAGTACTTCAGTACTCTTTATTTTATATTTTTTAAAGTAATAATTATTTTGAACAGTTAATGAAGAAAAAGTAAATGGGTCAGTAAGCCGTAATAAACACTACGGAAAGAGTGTGGAAAACGGAAAAGTCCGTATTTTCCCACCAAAACAAACTTCTGTTTCATACGAAGCCGTAGAATGCGAATTAAACACAAAGTTATTAACCCGAAGATTAATCTCAACTTAATCTGGCTTTGTAATATAAATCAAAACAAACGGTACCATGACATGTGATAACATCAAAATCGGGTTTGTGTAAGCTCCGGATAGGCGCCGGATATGAATCCCCGTCTTCTCGGGAGGTATGCCTCCTCATTTCGTATACAAATTACACAAATACAAAATTATCCCAACACAAACGGAGAAAAGGGAATAAAGTGATTAAATAGAGCTCAGCACAAGACGGCTAGCAATCAATCATTTTTGTCGCTTACGGCTTTGTTGATACTGCCACTTTCCATCTCTTTTTACCGTGTGCAATAGGTATGTTTCGTCTCGTTCCAGCGTGAAGTGTCGTGCCAGACAAGGGAGCAATTACATTCGTGATCTTGCATAAGCGGCACTTGCTTATCGCGCACTGCCGCATTTGACTTTGAGTGTAGTTCGTTCGCTTTTTCCCGAAATTTGCAATTCGAAACACTCTCATGGCTGAAATAAGCATTGCTTTGTTTTGCGCTTATTGCATTTTCATTCCATAAACAAGTCACATTTTTTGTTGAACACGCGACCCTCGCTTCGTGCTCTCGACTCTCGTATCATTTCTTGTTATTGTGTTTCATATCTCATCTATGCTTAGTTAGTTTTAATTATTTTACAATTAGTGGGAAGATGGATGGTCTCGCAAGGGGTTTGATCTGAGATCCGAGGCTCACGATATACTTATGTCTACATGTGTGGGTAGCGTAACTACAATCTTCTTGATTTTGATACTTGTGGATATGGGTTCCACATTTGATTAAAATTGTCCAAAAACATAGGAAATGAAAATAATTTTGGAAGTTGTAGCTGTCTACAAAACAATTTCAGAAAGTTCAACGAGTTCTTGTTATTTTTATTAACTTAGTACTATTTTATAAGATTGCATTATCTCTTATTTATAATAATTTGTTACGAAATGATCAATGGTTTATAAAAATATGATATTGTTACGTAATTTTCCATCAGTATTAGAGCAATTCTAATTAAATTCGTGCGCGTATCAAGTTTCCATGTAGCATATCTGTGTACGGGCTTCGGCGTTAAGCCAATATTATTTTGACGAGTCGTTGACAGTGGTTTACAGTTGATGAAACAGACGTACACACATACACAGCAGTCCTGGGAAGGTGCACCCACACAGGAGCCCGTCTAATCTGTACACGTCACACATGTATCTGAGGGGTGTCACTGTTTGAGTGAGTGAGGAGGCGGGTGGCCCATTTTCACCCTGTGAAATAATAGGATACGAAAACATCGGAGGCAGAATATAATCCTCCTGCGAAGGTTGAACGGAATGGAAATAGGAATATGAAATGCGCGAAAGGGATGTGTCGGCCCACGTGCTCGCTGAAAGGGTTACCCACCGATGTTTATCTTAAGGCGCTAAATCTAAACGGTTGCTCATTCCGTGTTACGACTCTGATTCGCGATAAAGGTTTCAAGTAAATGTATTTTTAAATAGCCATTAGTTCATCCTTAATGTAACATTTACAAGTCATAATTTAGCTCTTGGACGTGTAAATTATTGCAAAACTTTATCAGCTCGACATGGTCTGGAGATCATAAAAATTATCGTAGAGTAAGGATTTTAGGGTTATTTAATGTTGCAGTAGTAAAGATGCACAATATTGATATATAGAGAGATAATTGATAGAGCAATAGAATTATAATTGTCGTGAATGGTGAAATGAATGTAGATACACTTGATGTGATGGAGACAGCCCTAATATTTTAGAAAGTGCCATGAAAATGATGTGTTGATAATAATTAAAGGTTCGGCACGGTGTCGCCGCGCGCCGCGAGTACACCGGCACCGGGGGGATAATGTAAGGCATTATAACGTTACTGGCTGGGGCACAAAGCTTTATGTTCTGATTGAATTCTGCGACTGAAATTAAGTAAGGATTTGCTTGTTTATGTTAAGGGAAGGAAGGGATCAGTCAATTTACGAATCGCTTGTGTTCACGCCTTTGTTTGATGCATCGGTCCTTGTGCTCATGTTAATTTGTTCATTATAATTATGATGTATGATTAGATGATTAAATTATTGCTGTGAATACTTGACTGCCTCGTTGGTCGAGTGGTCGCAAATGCGACTGTCGGGCAAGGGGTCTCGGGTTCGATTCCTGGGTCGTGCAAAGTATTAGGTACTGGATTTTTAATTCTAAGTTGTAGCACGGAGTCTGGAACTGTTCCCGGTATATGCCAATAGGCTCACCCCCTATTATTGAGACTCATAACATAAATAGTGAAAAGTAGGTGTTACATTGTACAGTGGCATTAAGTGCTGTAGGTAATGTGCACCTCTGCCTACCCCTTCGGGGATAATAGGCGTGATGTTATGTTATTTTTATGAATAATTGTTTGGCGCTAAATTTGCTGCTTGATTCCGGGAGCTGTAAGTTTTTGATGGATTTGTTGAGTATACGTTATACATGTTACATTATGTCCGGAACGTGAGCTGCCGAATCATTCATGAATACTACGAAGATTTCGATTTTCACCGTTCTTATATCGCCTCAATTACAACTGCTTAATGAAAACTGATGAAAATTGTCAATCACTGTACTCAATCAAAAAATTTATCAATGTGATACCTATGTGGGTCAACTTGGTATTTTCACATTGGTAGTTTATTTTTCATTATCTCCGCATGAACAAGTAGCTACTTACTGCTCATTTGCAAGTTAATTATATGAAATCATTGGATAATTTTCAATTAATAAGATATTGGAGTAGGATTCTAATTAAAAAGGTACTGACAACAACTTATAATCGCCTTGTTCTAACATAGCTACGATATGCGTCTGTAAAAACTCACACACTAACAGATGGTCATTATCTAAGTCGGGTTTTTACTAAACAGAACGTTATTGCACATTTATCGGATCGCAAAAAGTGCATACTCTGCACAATCACTGAATCGAAAGCCCATTTTTTTTCATTTCCGTATCGAACGTCCGTAAGAAAGTACGATAAACACTAGCAGTCGGCAATCATAGCAATTTCTTGCTATCCACAGGCGCGTTTACAATTTTTAATGGTTAAAACATCAACTGGCAATTGGAAGTAATCTAACAAATTGCCGTTACCCCTTATAAGGAAATCGTAATAATAAACGGTGGCAACAAATAATTAAACGCCGAAGCGACGCGAAACGACTCGAGAAGTGTTTGCTGCTTACGACAACCTGAGCCGTGTCGAGACTGACTAGAGCTGACTTATTTGAATATCGGTAATGTATGAGAATATATGTCACTCAAAGAAAGCTATGGAATAAAAATATAACAAAGTTCATAAATATCGAGCAACAAACATGCTTAACTTCTATCGTTATCAATGTGGTCTTAAATAATTTACAAAAATAATAGAACAAGGCCCGGTTATCTATACTATTACCATTATTATGCATACAATCGTCGCCAATACATCAAAGAGACAAGCTTCAAAGTTTTTATTCCATCGATAACTAAAAATAGTTTTGCATAGCTGAACCACTTTTGCATAATAAGTCCGCTAGTTCTTTCAACGGACACGTAGATTGCCTCCAGGGTATTTTAATTTCAAAGAACATAATCGATTCCACAATAAACATAAACAGCTACCTACCGCAAAGTAATATAACTTGCAATAATAACTTGTAATGAAATATTCTTAGTAAAGTACTACCTATTTGAAACAGTTTTGAGTAAACTACTAAAATTTACTTTCTTTGTGGATTGAAAAATCCACGATAAACATCAATACGTAACACTGAATTGCTAAGTAATTAAGTCTCACGTCAATATCCATACAATAAACTAGAGCTGAATGTCAACGTTCAATAAATAAGCGTAAGCATTAAGTCAGCGTTACAGGATATTTCAATAAAAATTAAGCAATTAACATTTTAATTAAAACAGTCGTTATTACGCCGTTTGTTCAATGGGACCATCACTTCTTGTAGCCCTGTATGTAAATGAGTGTGAAAAGTGAGGTCGGTTCTGTTCACCTGCGCTTAGACGCGTGCGCCTGCGACGGCCGGCAGTTGCTGATTGCGGTCACCAGTCAGCATGGTTGATGAAATCGATTATGGATTTCAATTATCCGTACATCTCGCAATAAATATCGATTTGACAAGTTGCGTGCCGAGAAGTCCTGCGATTTGTCAAATTAACATCAGCTCCGTTATATTCCGTGTTAATTGTTTTGAAAGTGTGATTCGTGAATTGTCATGAGAAAGAAACACTGTAATTAGTTGCATTTCATTTTTTGTTAAATAACTTAACATGATTGCCAGTAAATATGTCAGTTACAAAGGAATTCCTCGTAGTTCTTGGTTAAGAAAACAGCAATCGTTATAATTTCCATTGCAAACCAATATTGCATTGAAGGCAACTTGACGTAGACATCCTTATACTTACAAGTAGGTTTAAAAATCCACATAGTAGTTATAGGTATAGTGGTATATTCCAAATAAAGCACCGCGAACGGTTAAAGCAAATATGCATAAGGCAAAATTCACAATAGGTAGGCAGGTATCTCGGTTCTTTGCTCCGTTTGTCGCTGCCGATATTTCGAATTCCGTACATTGGAATCGTGCGTGGAATTATGAGAATTCCCTCCCTCGCTGTGTATTGCTAGCTATGCCATTCTCAAATGTGCCCGGGAAGGGTCCGATAGACCTGTTACTGAGTGTGCAGTAGATAAACTAATAACAGGTGTCCCATCACTTACCAGTTTTTTCATTACCCTCAGGTTTCTGTCATAAACTAATGCACC